AAAAAAAAAAAAATAAAGGAAAAATTATCGTGAACGTATTAATGACTTATCGACCTTAATCTGTATAATTTCTCATTTTAGTCGAGCACAACGTTCTATTAAATCCTCCACTAAGCGTCCATTAAATCACGTTTCGACAGTCTAATCAACGTATCAGGCATCAACGATGAATTATTACATTCTAGAATCTGCTTTCACCAATGTTCGCTCAATGTTCGTGCAAAAAGTTGAAAGTCTTCGTCGAAAAGAAAAATCCGCCGTGCGCTAATGTAAAAATAGAAATCCTCCTGGTCAGTTTTAATCGAGTCTCTCGAGATTGGCGACGACCAAGATTGTCCCGATACCGGAAGCTGCGCCTCCATTAACGTCACCAATTCTATTGACCAACGATCAATTCGAAAGCTCAACGTTCAACTCGTTAAACGGTCTGAAAACGCTCCTAACCGCAGAACGGTAACCTCGACCGGATGATTGACGATCCAGCAAAGTCGTATATACAATTCAGACCACCGTGACAATTTTTACGGGCGTTCGTTTCGTTTAACAATGCGGTAAAATTTATGGGCCAATAACCCGTGGAATAAAATCACCACCCTGACAGATTATTTAGAGGCCTTTTGTCCGACGTTTCTATCCAATCAAAAGCCACCTGACTTTCCTTGCCACATTCGCCATTTAAGCGAGAAATGGCTGACCAAAAGTGTTACTTGATGAATTTCAACTGGGATGAAATATGGAGAAAAGAGCAAAGAGCAAAAGCGCAATGCGGAGGCACTTTACGCCGGCACCGCCCCCGTTCGATTCTGGTAAATTGCCATCAGGTTACGTTTAATTGATTTACCTGTCTCGTAGATAACTATTTCTGTTATACGTAGGTATTTTACGGGATTTAGAGGGATAAGGAATATACCAGAAATAGATCGCGTTTGTGAGATATCGTAAATTCAAATTCTCTCTTACAACTCTAATTAAAGGAACGTTTTACCGTGGAAGTATCAGAGAATCGATTTTTCTTGACATTTCCTTGAAATTACAGGTTCTTGATGCTTGAAAGATGTTTCACTCCTGACACGTCGAGGTTCAATTGAATGATTAACTCTGAATCCGTATATTATCGTATAAATCAGAGTAATAAGGGAAATTATTCTCTTCGAAAAATTCGACACTTAAAAACGTCATAATTTTGTCGATATTTCATATTTCTTTCTCGTTCACGTAATCGTCATAACAATAGCAAACAAAATCGTACTGATTTTTTCTCAAATTCGAATAAGGAGAACAAGCAAAATCATATCGGTCGTTGAAATACATATTTTATTATTCGAAATTGCACTTGTGCCTTAACAAAGCAATTAACACGGACAAATAAATATAAATAAAATTGATACGAAAAATCCCTAAGATTGAAAATCCAGAAATAAATTAAATAATCTAAAAAGAGGCGTTGAACTAGAAACCTCAAAGCCCTTAGAACCTCAGCAAACACACTTCCGCTTTTCTCGATTATGTAACACAAGTGAGCGCGGTTAATTAATTACTCTTTCGACAGAACATTGCGATCTTGCAACAGGTTCCTTCTCCTCGATCGTGGTTCCCGTAAAAAGAAAAACCCATAAATATTCCCAAGGCGGTTATCACCCGGCGAGGCATCCCGTGCATGAAAGAAGTCTTTAAAAGGAAACGCACACTAGTGTCGTGAACTCCCTGTGAATCGTCGGTTCAAAAAATGGAAAGAACACCTTTTCTTTCTCTCTATTTTCTTTTTCTCTTTCTCTGGAAACAAGCGTGAAGAAAGGTGATTTGTATCGTGCGACAACCGATGATCTTCCTCGCCTTTCATCGAGGCGAGTCTTCGCTTACGTAAAATCTGATGAAATCGTTACGCGACATTACGGTTCTGCGTATGGAGAGGATTCCATCGGCGTGGAAAAGCTTGGGAACGTCGAGCCAGCCGTCGAATAATTACGCTCCCAGATCATGGCTGATTAAACGTGAACATGTGAGCACGTTGATTCCTCTATCGGTTTTCTGTATCGAAAGCAAGGTGAACACCTCGCGACACGTCATCGCCTCGCGATTTCTTTCTTGATGCCTGCCACCAATGTCAAGGTGATTAATTGTTGCTCTGTTATGAGAACTCCAGTTTACGTGAATAATTTACCGATATACGTATATATAT